AGGCAATTGGGTTTTTAATGAATTTGGGTTGGTCAGGCGAATAAAGAACTTCAGGCTCACGATCCTTGTTACGTCCTGTCATTATATTAGTTCGTTCCTCAATACCTAGCTCATGAATCGTGTTATATACTATAGTCATTTTAGCTTTATGATCGATCATATATTGTTGTAATAACTGTGCCGAAATATCTATATTAAAAGGATCACGGGGGTCGAAATGTCCTGTAACAAGGTCTAGAGGTTTACACTTAGTAAAACTATGAATACTACTGTTGTAAGCTAGAATTGCGTAAGGCATAATGTTAATTACTGAATCTGATTTTTGGCTTAATTTAAGTATGCGTAAATGTTCTAATATAGTAGAATGAAATCTTTCCACTATTCCATTTTCATTCGGTGTATGTGGGGCAACCCTATGATGGTTAATTTTATGAAATTTAACAAATTCTGCCATAAGCTGGTTAGTAAATTCAATTCCATTATCTGTTACAATAGTAATCGGTACGCCATGGTTAATGCAAAAGTTAAGTAAACCCTGTAAAACGCTAACTGCAGTTCCATCTCTCAAGTGATAAGTCTGTCCAAATTTTGAAAATGCATCTACAATAGTTAAGTATTTTTCACTCTGAATAGTCAAGAGGTCTAAGTGTACTAATTCAAATGGCCTTGTGGCAGGTGTTAAAACTTTAAACTGCTGTCTGATAGGGTTGCGGTCATATTTTGCTTGACCACATATAATACATTCATTTATACATTTAGTTATATGGTTCTTCATTTTAGGCCAAAAATATCTATGAGAGAGAGAAAGGTAGCATTCATTTATGCCTCTATGGTTAGTTTTCCCATTGTGGTATTTATTAATGATGTCCTGTTGCCTGTTATTAACTACTTTAGTTAGACATTCAGAAATTATGCAATTACATATACATTGATTCTCTACTATTACATCACCGTCCTTCGTATTAATGGGTAATCTAACTAATTTAGAAGAATTAGCGGGTACAATCTCTTCGTAAAGATTGACGTTCTTGGAATCATACATGTGTATGGGAATATCTGTACTACGAGTTTTCAGGATTCTGTTTTTCAGATCAATATTACAGTCAAAAGAACTCAATAAATCTAAACCTATGAGTCCATCGAAATAATTATGGAATTTATATATGAATAATGTCATGTCGCCTTGCTCTTTAAATTCAGGGAAATAAGGTAAAGTAATGGAATAATTATTTGTACTGGTTGCGTGCACATTAGTTACCTCAAACGCATCATAATTAAGTGGTACATGATTAAAGTATTTTTCAACGGATTCCGGACTAATAAATGACTGGTTTGCGCCTGTATCTATTAATAACTTAAGTGGAGATTCTGCAATTTGAATGTAACCTAATTGCCTCTGTATGTGGAAATTAAGCTCTATTTTGGCTTTTCTGGCTTTAAAACTTCCTGAAAATTTTCATCCTTAGTATCTTTACAGGTGGAAATAGGTTCATCTACGTTATATGAAAAAGAGGGTTCTTCGGAAATATAATATGGTTCATAATGTTCAGTATATTGATCATAATCATAGGAGTATTGATCATAATCGGGATAGTATTCATACTCATTATAGTTATAATCATCGTACAATTCGTTGAAATTTAGCTCTCGGGTTTTGAAATAATTACTAGGAGGTGGATTGCCGAATTTACGCCAATCATGTCCTGAAGGAGGTAAATTTCTAAGTACAAAGTGACTTACACCACTCATTGGGCGTGATTTGAAGGGTTGTTGCGGTTGCTGAGGTTTATTAGGCAATCTAAAAAGATTACTTTGAGGGTTATAATTCTGTGGTAAAGCGCGCATGATTTGTTGAGTCCTGGAGGGGCCATGAGGTGGTTGCATCTGTGGTGGCTGGCTAGGGCGCCATCCTTGGTTATTTGGTGAAGCGAATGGCCTTGAAGGGCCAGGCATGTTCTGGTGCCTGAAGGGCATACTAAGCGGTACGAAATTGTTATTAGATTTTGAATGAGTTTGATGAGGATCTTTAGAGCCATGATGAGGATTTTTAGAGCCACCTTCGTTTCTTTGTTGTAAATAGAGAGTATTAAGTTCATCTTGAACGAATTGAATGGCCTTTTCAATTGATTCTGGTCGCATGCAACGGATCCTACAACCTATGGGATCTTTCAAACCTCGCAAGTATGCTTGAAGAGTAAGCTTTTTATATAAATCTCGTTTAGCCTCTATAGTGGTTGGGACAGATTCATGTAAAGAGATATACGTCATAATGGTACTGTATAAATTCTGGCATCTTTCATAAAATTCTTGAGGTGTACTGTTACCCTGCGTTTGTAATGAGAGGTCACTATAAAGAGCGGTCTCGTCGCGGTGGTCTGCGAAATTGTTCACTAACGCACTCCTAATACCTATCCAATTTTCTGGTATTCCATTGGAATTAATTAATCTAGCTGCGGGTCCAGAAATTTTATTTAATATTCCATTAATTAATGCTAAATTAGACAATTCGTGCCCAGGACCCGGTTTGAAATATTGTAATACTAATTGATCGCATAAATTAATGAAACGGGTTAAAACGTGGGTGTTTCCGTCAAAATCGGGTAACAATCTTAATGATTTATAGATATTGTCAATGTCAGCCATTTTTCCGTCTAAATCTCTATTCTCGTCTATAATACTAAACTTATTATTCTTATCTAACCTATTCTTTGATCTCGAGTTACGATATTCGAGTGGATGAAAAATCTTGATTGATTAAAATGACACACAAAATTTAAAATAATACACAATTAAAATTCTAAAACTTTAAATAACCGAAATAAATGCACATTAAATGTAATAAAATTCACACTAATTGATTTGAGAGTCAGGTGAAAATGTAGGCCTATTAAAAACTACTATCCGTATTACTACTAATTATTTTAATTAATTTTAAACAAAATTAATAATGAAATAAATTGATTTTATTAAGTAAAGATTAGAAATATTTAAATCGAATGAATTAATTAAAATAATTCACCTATATCTATTAATAAAATTAATTAATATATTTCGGAACCCTAAAAAAGGTATATGCGAATAATTAATTAATAATATAGTTACATATAGTTTAAATAAAATAAGGATATGAACTAGGAAAGTAAGGACTGAGATAGATTCAAAGTACTTACAGCATATCTGAATTTTGGTATCAATTGCGGAATCGATTTTCAGATCTCCCCCGAACCGTTCGAACCGAATAGGTTTCGGATACTCGAAAACGGTGCTTAGCCACCCGGGTAGCTCGCGAACGCGGTATCGATGTTTGATAGATCACGAACTATCCTCGAGTATCCTACCGACTGCGCCAATTACGTTTGGTGGCAGCGAAGGATGCAAGAAAAATCCGTTTTACTTACAAAATATATTCAATTACCAATTAAGACTTAAAATTAACTACTAGCTAGGGCGGGGTCTTTAAGTCAGCGATTGACTTAAGACCCATTCTATAATTAAGTCTTATAACTAACTACATACTAAAGAGGTGTCTGTAAGTCAGCGGTTGACTCCAGACTGAATATATGTAAAAATCCCATTCTTCATTCTCACCGATGGTGCAAGGCGTGTGGTGTCCACTTCACTTTCCCAGTCCCACCGATGGCTCAGAGTCAGCATTCCGAACTTTACACCATTGTTATACCGAAAACTTAATATCGGGTTATGCTTACGTAACAAGTGTAACAATGTGTATAAACTTTATTTTTGTACAAATTCCCAACATTGCGTGTATACAACTCGAACTGAAATTTTATTTATTCATAAAAAAGTATACAATCTAATTTCAGTAAAATTATGTTATTTTTAAATTAAAAACAACATAATTCGCTTTTTCTATGTTGTCTTTGAAAAATTTCGAGTTTTTTTTCATATCAAACTTTTTGTATATTGTTGAAATGAAGACTATTAAAATGAAGCAGATTTTAAGGTCATGATTTTTTTTTCAAACAATACACTACTATACCGCGTTCTCATAGGCTTGTTGTAATATTTCTCACAATGGATTTATTAGGGCATACATGAAATAATTTCATATTTAAATAATGTTACATATTAATAAAATGAAAGTACTATTGTAACTGTGTATCGGATTACAAGAATTTCTTTTATCTGTTGAAATCTTATTATAATAGAAAAACAGAGACTTGTTTGAAAAAATCTTCTTGCAAGATTCGGTTTCTCGGAATGTATTGAGATTCGATTTGAGTCTTAAAATGGTACTGTATATATTATTTTCTACTTCTAATTAATTCGTATTATATAATTATTACAATTGATAGTTTTGAACAGCTAATTCGTAACTATTATTGGTTTAACGTTAAAGCAAAACTGAAACTTTACACTGAAGTCTGAAACTAGATAAAATACTTTGTAAATGTAGATGAGGGAGTTAACGGCATCTTGGTCTTAAACCTAGTTAGAAATTCAGGTTCATTCTCAACTTGTTACTCCTGAAATATAATATCCCAGTAAGACCACTGAAGCGTTAAGTTTTAAAACTTCCCGCATTACTCATTTATATCAAAATCTTCTTGATTGATGCTTTAAATTTTTTTCATTCGCAATATCTTCGTTCTTTTAAATAAAATATCCAACTAAAATGCAATGCAAGCTGTCCTAGTGTCACTTAAATTAACTCTGAATGCAATTCACGTAATAAACAAAGTTGTTGATTTGTGTCCACACTCCAACAAAGTTTCAATCAATCCTTCGGGGCCACGCTCGTAATAATTGTTTGAGAAGCGATGATTGTAACTGAATAATTCAAATATCTACTTTCCTCACTTCAAATTCTGTAATCCCATGGTATTTTCAATACATTTCTTTTTATTGTTGCGGTTGCTTTGAAAAAAATTTACTTCAACTAAAATTATAAGTATTTATTTTAATTTTGAGTGATAGTCAGTTCATCAGTCGCCGCGTGCATACGCAGCGGATCGGTCGATGTTGTGTTGTGTGTCAAAATGTCTGAGAATTTAATTAAATGTGCGAACTGTAATGTGGTTATTTCGGAAGTATTGGCGTTTATACGCAATAAACACGATGTTATGGACAATGAGAGTCTCGTAAGGATTTGTCAGTCGGCTTTTTCTGAAGAGGAGATTGATGAGGCGAAGAAGAAATTATTTACATCCGTTAAGACTAAACAAAAGTGTATGTCGAGACGTAAACAAAAGAAGCAAAAGGATCTCGATGATATTATTGCTGTGTTTAAGACGATAGATCCTGAACAAATACCTGTGTTTGTGGCCTACGATCTACACAAATTACCGCCTATTTCTTTCGATCACGTAGATGTCACGAAGATATTAAAAGATTTACTAATCTTACAAGCCGAAGTTAATCATATCAAAAACAATTATGTCCCTACAGATTTACCGGAAGATTTGAAACAAAATTTTCAAAGGGTTAGGTCACCGTTATCTTTATTTAGCGATGATAAAATTAATATTCGAAGAGGAGGGTATTTTAGAAACAGCGGACCGATAGGACCACCGCACGTGACGTCGGAGCTTACAGCTGACGCGAACGGCCGCACGACGTGTGACGTCACAGCAGCGTCTCACGGCAATAACAATATTATGAGTGCACCTACTAACAATCAAAACAATGATTTATTTAACAAACCAGCGTATAGTGCTCTGTTCCACTCTCCGGCAATTAATAAAGTTGTTCCGGCTGCACCTGTGAGATCGCCTGTGCTGTGTAGTGAGGGCATTTAGACGAATAATTATAGTAACTTAATCGATAAAGATAAAAAGCAAATCTCCGTCGGTAATATGATACTAACAAAAGATACATGTATTGAAAATAAACGCAGTGAAGGTTGGACTTTAGTCCAGCGACGTAAGACACAAAATCGATTGACTAGCAAAACTGGAAAGGCAGTTTCATCGCCCTCGGGAAAATTTAAAGCGGCGGAGACAAAAATTCCCTTACTTATATCAAATGTTAGTAAACAGACGACTGAACAGGATATAGTTGAATATATTGAGAGTAAAACCCAGGAGCATGTAAACTTAGAAAAAATCAGTATGAAACGCGATAAGCCTTATAATGCGTTTAAGTTATTTGTAACTAAAAGTAAGTTGCACATATATCTTAATGACAATCTATGGCCAGAAGGTATAACGTTTCGACGTTTTGTTTTCTTTAAAAAACACTTGGATACAGACAACTCTGCGATTATTGAAGATAAATTACAATCATAATGGATAAAGTGGACAAAAAGAAAATTATTATTTCATCTTTTAATTGTAAATCGATTGTAAGATCGACGGAGTGTGTACGGCGATTTTGAATAAATGGGTACAACTACATACTAGGCCTAATAGTGCCTAGTGTGTTAGTTTTAATTTTAATTTTATAGTACTAACATTAGATTTTAAGATTTTGTTACTAACACTTAGCTTTAAATGAATTTTAATATGGATATAATTTGTCTGAAAATAAAAATATTATTATTATTATTATTATTATAAACAACATATAAAATAAAAATATTGTATTAATAATTAATTACAAATCCTATATGTTTATAATAGTTTCTTTTATCAACAGTACGACCTCTATGGGTAAGGCTTTTAGGAGGTAAGCGACCTCTAGTGGCGGGGCAGAGTACTGAATTAGTCTGCCAAGCGGTTGGCGCGAGACCAAAACCTAACATGTCATGGTGGAAAGGAAGCACAAGATTGAAGAATGTTAGAGAAACAGTAAGCTTACTTCAAGTACTTAAGCTGAAAAATTTGTATTTAGACATTAGACGGTATACTAAATAAGACAGCATATATATCTCATTTAAAGGAAGTCGTTATTTCCTAGAGATTAAAGGTAAGTCTCTCATGCATGAGGGTGCAAAATCGAAACCTGGCATGTACCAATGTGATTTTTCTCGAGGTATATGTAACTATTTTCTTAGAGAATTTAGACACCATCGACAGACGGTGAAGGAAAATGTTATGAACCTGAACTTATAATTACAACATATAAGTTTGAAATCGCTATTCCAATTTGAGCAAGCGTGGTGATTAATGCTCTAACCTTCTCCATGTGAGAAGAGATCTCAGAAGTGATCACCGATTGGCTGATGATGTCATTATATAAATATTAATTAGTTCTGCTTTTAAATTAACTTTAAATGAAGAGGTTTCATCACTGTGGAATCTTAATAGTCCATGTGCGATCAACCCACGGTTTATTAAACTCTGAAACTTGCTAATTGCTTTTGAGATTAAAAGAACTCTTAATTGTGTCTCCTTAATTAATCCAATTGAACTTGAGTAAACTTCTCCCTTTCTGTCTGAACAGTATAATATTGAGTGTTTTTATATTTCGTCTCTTCTTACATATTAAACTTTATCCGTCGATATTACGAATTACTTTCATGCTTGTATCTGGAATAAGTGAAATTAATTCATTTGCGATGGTAATTATAATTTTTTAAATTACTGACGTATTGTTTTTCTGATGTTTGAATTGTGGTACTTAATTAAACTAAGAAAATGCTTAAGAATTCTCTTATTTGAATTATATTAATTTTTTATATCAAAATGAGGCCCAATTTTAATTGTATAAAGTATAACTATAGGGCTATGATACTATTATTGCAAGTAGCTTTTCTCTCATATTTTTAAGTTTACAATAATAAAATTATTCTATATGAAGTTCTAAATTGACGTAGTGAGAAATTTGTGCGTACAAAATGTTATTGTTGATAGACTTTGAAATTTTCAAACGGAATGTAAAGTGTTGCAGTTTAAAAATTCAAAAAGTCCAAAGTTAACTAGAATTCTGTTGAGATTGTAAACTATTTGGATTGGAAGTAACACGGATGCATTTGCACATTTTTCTGTAACGAATTTTTTTCCAAATCTTTGGAGTGATGATACGTGTGTTCAAATTTCGAGGTTGTGAATATGGCAATTGTTTCTGTTGTGTCTTTAATTTAATCTCATTTTGATATTATATGTTTTACGGAATATTTAAAGAATGTCGATATTATACAATTGGTCTACATTTTAATAAGTTTGATGGAATTATTTGACTTTACTTTTCTCCGACTAGATTTCATCTGATGGAAATGTCACCAGCAGTATTCTGACTTTTGTACCCTCAATCGATGATGCTGGACGGGTTTTATCATGCAGAGCCATACAACCACGTTTACCACACTCTATTCACGAAGATGGATGGAAACTAGAAATACAACGTAAGATAATTAGACATTTTAAAGCTACAATACATTGTTTCCCATGTATGTGTTTGAATGAATTATTAACATTATTTTTTCAAGTCACGGTACTAAGTATGACTGAAATTATTGATAAAATATGTACTTGTCACTACTCTTAATTTTAATATGACGTGATGTAATTTAGTATGTACTAATATAACAATTTTTTTTTTTTCATTACACTTAGAAGTTTTTAAATGATAAAACATTTTACAGATTTGCCTGTGGTCAATTTGGAACTAGGTGCTAACTTAGACGCAGATAAAGTGATAGAAGGTTCTGATGTGTATTTAGATTGTATGGTCCGAGCAAACCCGTGGCACAGTCATGTGTATTTCACTCATAATGTAAGTATACATTAATTACACGGAATTTTATTTGGGGTATTTCTTTTTAATTCAACCTAATCAGTAATTTTTACACTTCGCTGAAATTCGATACTGGTTTTAATTCCATTTACAGTACAAAATATATAAAGGGAATATTTATTTGTAATGTTCATACATATATTAATTGAAAAATAATCACGATTTTTATAAATATAATATATTTTAATGTTATATATTCAAATCTATCTATCTAATCTAATCTATCGATCTATCTAATCTAATATAAATTTATGTCTTTAAAATAAATTAAAAACAATTTTAAATGTTTTAGAACCTTTATACCAAACTTAAAGTAAAAATTAATTTTTACTTTATTTCTTACTTAATTTAACTTTTTAAACAATTTCGAAGGTTCTTCCAGTTATAAGAGACTGATATTAATACAAAGAAAAAAGTATAAAATACGTATTTAGAACCCGACTATTTTTTATTTTTATAGAATTTATTTCAATGTTAAAATCTCTTTTTGATAATAGTTAAAAATTAAAATAATTGAAGAAGTATTCTATTATAAATAGAATTTTGTATTTAGATAAAAAGTGCTCTTAAATTGAGCATGTAAATAAACTGATAAAGTCTTTTAGACCTTATAAGTAATAGGATAATATTTTTGTAGGGTGCAATAATAAAACCCGGTCCAGGAGTTGTTTTGGCCAATCAAAGCCTAGTTCTTCAGCGTATGTCAAGAAAAGCCACGGGCGGTTATGTTTGTGTCGCAAGAAATTCGCTTGGAGAAGGTTATAGTGACCCATTGGTTTTAGAAGTGAAATGTAAGTAATGGAAGTGAAATTTTCATGTGCTTTGGAACACAAATTGATTTATGTACCTTTGTATCTCTCTATATAAATTTAGGTAATTCAACTAAGATATCATGATCATCTATGTGACGAAAAGTTTTTTTTTTATTTTTATAAACTGATTTTTTCTGTAATGTTGAGTACAAATATTATTTGTTATGAGTCTTAGGTTCAGACAAATTAAACATATTCTTTAAGTATACAATAAAAATTTTGAAATCCTATTTTTTTTCATTATCGCTTTCAAAATCGATAATCTCGTAAGTATCTATGAGATCTTGAAATAAAAGATTTTTTTTGCTTTAATCTCTACGATAGATCCTCCTACATGTAAGTCTCATCAAGCCACTATCATCAGAGCAGCTCGTGGTGAGGTCGTCGATATTATGTGTGAAATTGACGCCAATCCCATGGTACGTATTATTACTATAACACAACAAAATCACGCGACCATGGTTACTGCAAAGTAACCGAAACGTCGGGAGTATGTATTTAAAATAATAGAAACGCTTCGTAAACCAAAAATACAGATTTATTTAAAAAAATAATCGAATAAGTCTTAAAAGAAAATTATTTTGGGATATAAATCATTAATTTTATTATTCAAGCAGATTAAAGTCGTAAAATCTTTAAAACTTTCTCCGTGTAAATAGGGCCTTATTTCTAAACTTGGTAAAATTTTGGAAGAGAAACATTGCATATAAAATGATTATAGGTTTTTTATAAGACGACAATTTATATTAGATGTAAATCATAATATCAAAATTTTGACATTCACATCTCGTCTGTCATGGTGGCTGAAAAGTAGCCGAAACGTCGGGAGTAGTTAGTTTTTTTACAAAAATAAAGTCGCGTAGTATCCAAAAAATATTAGTTTCATTTAAATGAAAAAAACTTAAGAAAATCTTAGATCTCATTAAAGATATAATTTCTGTTCACAGGAACCGATGACATATCAGTGGTGGTTTAATAGCAGTACGCAAACTAAATTAGAACTCAATACATTTTCAACAAATTCACAGAATAATCTTGGTAAGTCGTAGTCGTAAATACGAAATTAGTTAGTCAAATAAATTCCTATATTTACTTATATTTCATTTAATAAGCAATTTATATACAAAAAATAACTTTAAATGCATATCTAAACAAAACACATTTAAACATTTATAAATGTTTTTTTAAAACATTATTTAGGATTAATTGGCAGAGTAATTTGATTTAAACAAAAACTATCTTCGTTAATAAATTTTGAAATTTAATTCAGCCAAATATATTATACAGTAAATTAAATTCTGTATTATTAC